GGTGGAGCTCACACCTCATTCCAGTCGGTCATTCCCGGACAACCCGGCATGCTCCAGCTGGTCTCACCGAGGGTGGGCTGTGCAGGAAGGAGTGTAGTAAGGTCTGACCCCCTGGGAAGCAGCCAGGATGAGCTCTGGCTCCTGTAGCTTATCTCCCAGGCTCTTTTCCTTAAGCGGGGGACCATGGTTGTGCTGATACAGACAGAGCAGGAACAGCACTTTCCTGGCCTGCAGCCACTGATAGCAGCAGCAGGCCTCTGGCCACCTTTGTGCCTGGCTCCTCTTGACCTGTGCTGCAGGGAGCGAGTGTAGCGGGCTACAAGGTGGCTTCATTTGATGTCTTTTCCTTTGTTCCTCCAGCCAAGGCTGCTGCCATCGTGCTGTACTGGGGGAGCAGCGGCTGCTGGTGCTGTGTATGCTGATGTTCTCCCCGCAGTGTGCTCATGGCCAGTAGTTACAGACCACCAGCGGCCCTGCGGAGGTCAGCTGCGTCTGTACTGCAGCTGCTGGTGCTCTCCCTCCTGGAGGCAGTACCCGAGTTGCTCAGCACAGTGACCTGCTCTGCTAACAGCCACCCTTCTCTGTCGAGGTCTGTCTGCTCCTGCCCTGTGCCAGAGCTCAGCTGCGCAACAAGCGTCTTCATTTGCTCCTATGTGGCACCCTTTGCACGCTGGATTGACACCACTCTCCCTCGTGCAATCCCCACCTAACCCTCACCCCCAGTGCTGTTTCCTCCCAAGAACACACACACCCACTGGTTGTTTAGACTGGAGTGTTATTTCTCTGTATGCCATCGTTAAATGCTTGTCTGGACAGGACCTTTGTCAGTAGGGCGTGGGGAGCTGGGATCCCAAGGGATGGCTTTCTGGGAATGGTGGGGCTGTGGGTTGCTGAGCATTTCAGGGGAGTGAAGCAGGGAGTGTTAGCAGCAAAGCCTGAAGAGTTAATTTTGGGAATCTACAATACCCCTTTTTCCTTCTCCATTGGCTGCCAGGAGAACCTGCAGAGGGAGAGAAGGGGAAAGTCATCTCTCCTCTCCTGCAGGGCAGCAGTCCAGTGAGGGGTTTACTGAGCGCCAGCAGCTTTCCTTCCTCTGGGCTGGCAGGTCCATACGAGGAGGCTGGGAGCAGGGCAGGGCTGGCTGCTAGCTTCTTGCTGCCACCTGCTCTTTGGGACTGTCCTCCTGCAGGTCCTCCTCATCCGACTGCACCACCGGGGTCTCGGCCCCCTCCTCGCTGGTGTCCAGGCTGTTCAGATCCGTGGAGACCGAGGATGTGGAAGAAATGCGTGACTTGCTCTCGGCTGTGTTGGGCACTTGCAGGGTGATTTCCTCTGGGCACTGGTTGGCATCCGCCCCTGGAAGAGAGTGTGGTAAGAGGAAGAAAAATGCTTCTGGAGGCTTATTGCTCCCTAAGCTTCATGGAGAGCACCTTCAACACGTGTCTTGCTCCCTGGCAGGATATGCTTTCCTGGCTGCTCCCCATGCGGCTGCTGTAGCTGTTCCCCACCTCACACCCCCAGCCTGGCTCTGGGTAGTGCTGCACATTCCTTCCCTGGTTTTGGCAATGGAGCCTTTTCCATCTCCCATGAAACGCAGCTTGGAGCCATGCTGTGTGAGGCCACTGGCTGCAGCAGGCAAGGGGACGTTCGGCTTGGCCTCAGTGAATCACTGCAGCTTGTGTGTGTGTGGAGGAAGGTGCTGCACCCTGTGGGACCTAAGCCCAGCTCCCTGGGGTCTGCCTGGGAGGTGGAGAGGTCCTGCAGCCTTCCTGCTCACTGCAGGGAGCTCTGCAGTGCGGTGGGGTCTGGGGAAATCATGACAAGACATTGGCTGATCCAGAGGAGCCTCAGGACAAGAGGACTTGCCCCACAAACTCTGGGCAGCGCCTGGGCTCTCCTGTGTTCTGCAGCATAAGGTATTTACAGGGGTCTACACCTCTGGGCTGTGGAGGCAGATACTGACATGAATCACCCCAGGCTGAGGTCCCTCCAGCCTCACAGACGCCAGCACCACGTGTCTTTGCATGAGTGTGTGTGTATCTGCACGCACGATGGCCAGGGCTAAGGAACAAGCTGATGTGGGCACTGGAAAGCCTCCCAGCCTGGCCCACAAAAGGCTTGAAACTGCACATACCTGGCAGGGGCCCAGCAACACTGCTCTCCTCTGTCCCACAGCCCAGAAACACATCCATGGTGTCCTGGTCTGACAGGTCCATCATGTCCATCTGCTCCAGCATGTCCACGTTCACCTCCATGGAGGAAATGCTGCCTAAGGGGGCTGAAGACACAGAGGCCAGCAAAAAGGTGAGTGCTAGTGCCAGGCAAAGGGCACCAAGAGCCGTGTGCAGGCAGAACCCTGAGGAGGGAGGCCAGCCTTGCACTGGGGAACTGAATCCTATTTGCTGGCAAGGGGCCCCCAGAAAAATCATGTTTCCTTAAAACATTGCTCTGGAATCGCCTCCTGTCTCACTGCAGTCCTTGTCCCTGCCTCAAACTGCTGTCTGGATGAGCCTGTCTGAAGCCAGTGACTATGTGTGGTGCCAGCCTGGGTACGCATGTGCAGTGACTTAAGTTAAGTGGTGTGAGTGATGCACAGCACACCCACAGGCAGCCTGTGTGTGTGGTCCTGTCTCAGTGCAGGACATGCGTGTCCCCAGCTGCCTTTAGACTGGTGATGTCCCACTGATCTCTATCACCTGTGTCACTGTTCCTTGAAACAGCCCTGGCCCCATGCTGGTGCCCACAGCACTTACGTCTCCGATGCTCTATCTGCAGGTGAGACATAGGGAAGAAGAAATCCACATCATGCTGGAAAACCTCTTCAAAGAACTTCTGCCGGTCTCGTAGTTTCAGCTGCTGCTGCTGCATCTGCTCTGTGTCCAGGCCCCGCTGTGCCTGCTCCATGTTGGCTGGGGAGAAAAGTGAGGAGGGTTGGACCAGGCAGGGCTGTCTGAGCCCTTCTACCTGTCCCAGCTCATGCAGTAGGGCCATGCTGGGGGTGAGTCCCTTCTGCTCAGCTTTACCAGCGCACATTCATTTAGTCACCATGAATAGATGTTACATGGTGGAATGGCAGCATCACCAGCACTTGCTGTGCTGGAGCCTCAGATCTTCCTTCTGAAATGCAGGGCAGCCAGAAATGGGGAGCTCATATGCTGCGTTCACAACTGTTGAAGTGAGCTATCAAGGGGGCAAAGGGTGTTGTTATGAGAGCAGCCATGGTTTGCACATGTTCAAGTTTCAGTTTCCTTGCTATAAAACAGAGGGTTGTCTGTGAACGCTAACAAGCTGAGGAGACTCCCAGGGACAACTGGCATTGGTGCTCCAAGGCCTTCTGGGATGTATTAAGGAATAAAAGGCATTATCAACCCTGTCACCCCGCACACGCACACCCCTGCTGCCACCGTCACTATAAATACAGCCGCACCCACGCTCGCAGGCTCCGTATTCACATCCCCGCCCGCACAGCCAGCTTGGCTTCTGCCTCTACAAACATTTTCATTCCTGTAATTCCTCCTGCAGTTCAACACCGGTGCCTGTGGCCCAGCTCACACCAGAGGGAGTGATGGGAGCCCTTGGGCTGTTGCTGCATCCCTGTGCCTTGTACCTCCCTACTGGGTTGGGTACCCACAACAGCAAGGACCCAAATGGCACAGAGCCAGTGGCCCCGGCTGTTCCCAGGCTGGTGTTTGACCTCAGTCATTCCAGGTTTCCTCTCTGGTGCTCTTGGCCTAGCAGCACAAGGAAAATGTGATTAGTGGAGCAGTCAGTGCAGTAACTAAGGAAACCAAACAAACATCCTCTGCTCTGCCTGAGCATGGCCCGAATGCTCTGCTCCTTTAGGCTGGAGCAGCATCCCCACCCTGTCTGGCAGGAATAGGGTGAGGACAGCAGGGGGGCTGCCAGCAGTGTGTAGCAGCACAGGACCCAAATGGGAGATAGGTGGTGGGCCTGGTGAGGTGTTCTGGAGAACAATGTCATGTTTTTCTGAGAGACCTCCCAAAGGCTCCTCTGCACCCTGTTTCTGGGGCATCCTTTAGCTAAACCCCATCATCTGCAAGCGCCTGCCCCGGGAGGCTGGGTTGTGCCTGCAGCACAGCGCTGGGATGCACTGTGACTCAGGGCCAGCCACCATGTGCTTTCTCAAAGAGGCTCTGGTCCTCTTCTGGCTGCTCAGCGTCTTCCTGCGATGCCCAGGGCACCGACCTGGGCTGCCTGAAGGGGCCTTTGCCGTGGCATGTCTGACCTAAGCACTGGGCGCCTGCTCTGGTGCAGAGGCTCGGTGTGCTGTGCAGCACCCAGGCTGATGGCTGCGGTGAGGGACACACCGTGCTGGTGAAGCTTTCCTCACGAGGCTGACCAGCAGCTGCAGCCCAGTGCCACTGGGGTACAGCAAAAAACTCCTGCCTTCCCTGTGCTATGTGCAAGAGATGGAACCAGGACAAGGAGCAGGTGACCAGGGCACTGATTATGGAGGTGGCTCACTTCAGCAGCTGCAGCCATCCCTGTACTGTCTGTGCCAGGCAGAGCTCTGCTTCCCAGCCCAGCTGTGGCAAATCCATGGCAAACTGTAGCAGTTCACCACACTGAGGAGATTCCATCAGGCTCCAGCTGCAGGAAGGCTGGGCTTGGCAGAGGCTGTGCTGGCTCCAGATTTGGGGCAACAGACCGGCTCTCTGTGCAGCATCGTGCCAAAGGGACAGCAGTGTGGAGGTAAGGAGGAGAGGCTCTAAATCCTCTTGCAGTGCAAATACAAAATAAACCAAAATGCGGGCAGGTGCTGTCCTGAGCGCCGTGAGCGTGGCTGAACTGTGCCATTAATGTTCTTACTGTCCACCTCTTCCCAGCACGTGACCGATACTCAGGGTAAGCGTGCTCGGAGAGAGTCAGGAATGCTGCATTCCTGTGGGCGCCAGGATTTCTCTTGCAGGAGAAATTAGCAGGACCTGTTTATGAACTTGTTTTTGAGCTCTCACTGGGGAGTCAGGCACGAGCACTGAGATCCCATTATGTAAGGAACGCCGGCAGCTGGGCTGTGCTTGGCCCTGCCTGACCCATGACTGCGGTGAGAGTTGGGGATGGAGCCTTCCCCCCTCCCGAGGCTCTTCCGGGCCTGGGGGATGTGAACAGCCCTGCCAGTGTAGCCACCTCTCAGCAGCCCTTGCCGGGGAAATAAAGGAGAGTGGCGTTCCCTGCCGCGGCCCTTCCCCATGTGACGGCCGCTCACACTCCCGGGCTGTCAGTCGTGGGGATTGTCTCATCCCGCTGGCATGTTCCCACCGCGGGACACGTTCACACGCACAATGCGGCCCCTGTGCACTGTGGGGGATCTGTTGGTACCTGCTGGTGGCCTGGCTTTTATTACTATTGTCATGGTTATTCCTACAGCAAAGGGGCCAAGGCTGATCAGCATTCAGAGGCAGGCTCGTCCCCCCCGGCTGACACACCGAGCCGC